CATCTACATGAAACCGTTGGGTGAGATCATCCGGGAACCTGGGATGAGGTATCATCAGTATGCTGATGATACCCAATTATACATCTCCATCCCGGGTGATTTGAGTGATGCTGTGGCTACCTTCTCACAGTGCCTGGGGGCTGTGGGGGCCTGGATGGGGGACAACAGGCTTCAACTGAACCCTGGTAAGAGGGAGTGGCCGTGGGTGTGGGGAGCCTCAAGATCCAGTTTTATCATCTTTGGTTCTGGATGGGGTCGCACTACCCCAGGCAGACCCGGTGCGTAGTCTGGGGGTCCTCCTGGACTCCCGACTCCTGTTCGAAGAGAAGGTGGCAGTCGTGGCTAGGAGGGCCTTTGCACAACTTCGTGTTGTGCGGCAGTTACACCCCTTCCTCAATCAGGAGGCCCTCCGCACAGTCACTCACGCCCTGGTCACCTCCTGGTTGGATTACTACAGTGTGCTGTACATGGGGCTACCCTTGAAGAGTATCCGGAAGCTACAGCTGGTGCAGAATGCTGCGGCACAGACAGTTCTGAATGCCCCTGGGGGGCACATATAACACCGCTGTTACGTGAGCCGCATTGGTTGCCGGTTGGCTTCTGGGTCCAATTCAAGGTGTTGGTTACTACCTTTAAAGCCCTTCATGGCACAGGACCAGGTTATCTGAGGAGCCGTCTCGCCCGTTATATCAATCCGCCCCACTCGGTCCGGCAGAAGGGGCATGTTGCAGACCCCATCAGTCAAGGAATTTCGACTGGTGGGATCTAGGAAGAGGGCCTTTTCCGCTGTGGCCCCCGCTCTGTGGAACAACCTACCTCCGAAGGTGTGGTGTGCCTCCACTCTCATGGCCTGCAGGAAGAACGTGAAATCCTGGCTATGCCAGATGGCCTGTGGGCCGGATGGGGGCTCACACCAGTGGAGGTGGCTTGTGGGGTAATTGACCTTGCCCCCCACCATCTTGAATGTTTTTAGTATTTATGTATAGGGTTTGTTTTTATAGCTGATTTTAAATGGATTAATTAATTTTAATTATTTATGGGGTATTTTTAATTGTTTATAGGTTTTTTATTTTAATTGTGAGCCGCCCAGAGTCGCCTGTTGGGGGAGATGGGTGGCATACAAATTTAATAATAAATACATACATACATACATACATACATACATACATACATACATACATACATATATACTGTCAGCAGTCCAGTAAGATACTATAGTTGATGGTATCAAAATGATGGAATAGCCACAGAAATATGGTCATCCGTGCCATCTCTGTCCCATACCCAAGGCTCAATCTTGACTGACAACAGTCTAGATGATCTGCTTCTTCTACTGTAGGGTGCTGCATAGTTGATCCAGAACTGGCGTGTCTGTAGGGACTTCCTCCCTTCCTTCCTTCCTTCCTTCCTTCCTTCCTTCCCTCCCTCCCTCCCTCCCTCCCTTTCTTCTTCTCTGATGTTTTTGAGTCCATCCTCTCACATCTCAACTCTGTTCTTGTCCCTTCTCTCTCACACACCCCCATACACACAGCACCAAAAAGCACCAGATTCTGTTATTGTACCTGACAACAAGAAAAAATTCCTGCCGGGTCTGTTTCATGAACTAGCTTACTTTGCAGGGCTGGCATCAATCTTCAAAGCTTCTCCCGTTTCTCTCTGCCCCACCTTATGCTCAACAAAATCAAGGCAGGGCCACTTTGTCTCCCTTTCTCACGCTTCCCTCTTTCCCAGGACTCTGTCTCCTCTCTCTTGCAAGTCCCCCCTTTGCATCTTGCTCCTTCCTCTCTCCCTGTCATGGCTCTCTCTCTCATACCTTCCCCAGGGTCACCTCTACACTACTCTGTCCAGGGACATTTAACCATTTGTTTCTTCATAACACAAGTACACCCATGGTAGAAGGGGGCACCTTGCTGTAGTTGCAAGTAGAAGCCCATCACCCTGAATATTTATCACTCCTGTTCCTTCCACCCCTTTACAGTCTGACTTTTTCATTTATCTTGTGTTCTTTCCGCTTGACCTATGTTCGTTGAGGTCTGGGGGAGGGCCACAAAGGGCACCCCTTCAGCTGCCCCCCCCAGGTAGGGAGCCCAACAAAAGAACACTTGGACATATTAACAGCTTTTCCCACTTCATGGGCCACTGAAATCAAAGAACGGTGAAGCTATCCTGAAGCTAAGTGAAAGGAATTAATTGAATGAGCAAAAATAAAAACAAACACAGAGGAAAATGAAATTTTAATTTAATAATGTGGAGGTAGCCTACTCCACCCAGCTCTTTGAGCTTTTATAGTCTGAGCTTTGCCCTTTTTCCTCTCCTTCCGGGGGAAAACCAGAACCTCTGCGCTGCTCCCATGATGTTCTCTCTCTCCCTTTTACTTGGTTCAGCCTTCAAGGTGGTTGCTTCACTGTCATCTACTTCTGCCTATGAAGTGACAACTTCACAGTTTTCTGGTCCTCTTTGGGTCTGGAAGTGCTGCAGCTTCTTCAGTTGAGGCTGATGGGTCCATCTGGTGATGGCCTGGAGCTTGTGTCAGGGCCCAGCACAGCGTGGCTGGAGTGTCTGTGGTGAGCAGGACTTGGTATGGACCCTTTCACCAGGAGCTAAACAACGTTTACATTGATGGACCACAGTCTCCTGGCTGGTAGCTTGATCAACAACAAAAGTTCAACATTCTGACAGGTTGAGCTTCTTCTTGTAAGATTGGAATTAAAGTTCATCAGCAAGTCAATATAAGCCTCAACTGCTATATCTGTATTTCTCAACCTTGGCAACCTTAAGATGTGTGGACTTCAACTCCCAGAGTTCTGGCTAGGGAATTTTGGGAGTTGAAGTTCACACATCTTAAAGTTGCCAGGGTTGAAAAACACTGTGTTATATGATTGGGCAAATCTGCTCTGGCTTGACTACTGTCACTCCAAAGTCCAAAAACACGAGTTGGTACAAAACCTGGCAGTCAGGTTGGGCTTGAGAAGAAGATAAAGAGACCATACTGCACCTGACCTTCAAAAACTGCCCTGGTTGCCTGTTTATTTTCAAATAAAAAAGAAAATTACCTTTTAAACACTAATGAATCTAAGCTACCTGAGAAAACAACTCATCTGATTAAACCTCCACACCAGATCATCAGAAATGGTTTGCACACGGTTGCTGTGAACATATCTGACAAGAGTTTTGCATGAAGTCTTCTCTGTTGTCATCCATATCTTTGAAATATACTCCCGGTCAGGTTGAGTAAAAAGGCCTAACATTTTAATAAACAATCCTTCAGACACACTGGCAGACACCTGGATCTGGACCATCAACTAGTTCTGACCAAGTTTATCCAGAGGAGTAGAGGAATCCTCATATGCCAATGATTGACATGTATTCTCACTGTGGAAGAAACCCTAAACCCTGAAGTTGCACAGATCCATGTTGTGTGCCAATTACGCCTGTTCCTAGATAAGCAGTCCTTACTAATGGTCACTCATGCTTTGATCACCTCCCGCCTGGATTATTGCAGTGACCTCCACATGAGCCTGCCCTTGAAGACTACTCAGAAGTTACAGCTGGTCAAGAATGCAGCAATGCAGGTAATAACGCCTCTACTTTGTGAGCTGCAATGGCTCCTAATTGGCTTCTGGGTGCAAAGTCCTGGTTTTCGCCTATAAAGCCTTTCATAGAACGCAGCCAGGTTTTTTGTGGCACCTCCTGTCTTCAGTTATGTCTGCCTGTCCCATGAGGTCCGACAGGATGGCACGCTCCAGGTCCTTTCTATCAAACAGTGGCATTTGATGTGCCTCCCCTGTTGTGATGCCCTGTGGAATAATGTCACTCATGAGATTTTGATGGCCTTCCATAAGGTGCTAAACCTGGCTATTTCCCCAGGCATTGGGCCTAGAGGTTTACTGAGGCAGTTCTTCGGTCATTATGGGTGTTGCCAAACCATCTGTTTCTGTTGATGTTTAAGAGTTAACTTCAATTGTTGGCTTTACTGTTAATTTCAGAGCAGTGTTTCTCAACCTTGGCAACTTTAAGATGTGTGGACTTGTGTCAAGTGAGTGGCCATATAAAACTAAATAAATAATTAAAATGGGCTCTTTACGAGCAGAAAAATGGGATATAGATGAAATCAGTACAAAAACCTGGGTTCTTTTGACTGTTTTATGAATGAAAATTAATTGGCAGCCCCTTTCTACATAAAAGCTGATAAAAAGCATTAAAGGCATATAGATAGGCCAATGAAACATTCAAAGATGAAGGTTGATCCAGCAGGTCTCTCGCATCTTGCATTGTCGCCGTTGTGGCAATGAGTCCCCAGGTAGTCTGGGGGCACTTCTGTAGCGCTACTGTTTTCACCCCTAAACTCATAAAGCAGCTGAGAACGGATCTGCAAGTGTTCTCATCACAGATGAGCATCAAATCTAAGATCGCTAATTTGGGAACACAAAAAATGGCCACCTGGTAACTGCCCCACCTGATTGACATCTAGGGATCTAACTTGGGCTCTAAGAAAGAAGAAGAACCAGCATTCCCAGTAGGCACTAAGTCCTTTGGTCTGGTTCAGTGTTTCTCAACCTTGGGAACTTTAAGATGTGTGGACTTCAACTACCAGAATTCCTCAACTCCAGCCAGGAGTTGAAGTCCACACATCTTAAAGTTCCCAAGATTGAGAAACACTGTTTTAGTCAAAAAGAGCTGTCCAGGAGAAGCTTTGTGAACCATGGTAGGCAGGAAAGGTGGACAGCCCAGGAGTTGAGATTCTTACTAATGAGATAATAACCTTCAGAAGCCCACCAACATCCCTGAGTTGAAGCTCTTCTATCAGGAGAAATGAACTAAAATTCCTCCAGGACTGATCAACAGTTGTGGGAAACGTTTAGTTGCAGTTATGGCTACCCAAGGAGGGCACACCAGTTACCAGAAGCAAAGATTCACATCCTTTTGCCACACACAAATAGGTAGCTTTGGGTCATTTTCTTCAATAAATCAACGAACAAGTCTCACGTTTTTGACTCATTTGTTTAATCGGGTTCTCTTTATCTAGTTTTAAGGCTTATGTGGAGAACAAATCCCATTTTAGGTCATATGGATGCAGAAATATTGAAAATTCAAAAGGTTCACAAATGTTTAAGCACTACGATATGCCCCAGCTAATAGAAACCAATTGTTTCTTGCTGACCTCAACTGAGCTGGAAACAGATGTCTCGTCCTGCCCCACCCAACAATAATATGAAGTCCCAGAAGCATGATGCATATCCCGGAGCTTGAATTCCATATCAAAATACTCTGAGTTGAATTATGATGCTCTGGGATGGTCTGGGGATTCCTCCCCAGAGAAGGGAGTTGGACCTGGACCTCTAAGATCCCTCTTTCAACTCCAGGATTCTAGGACTAGAACCTCCTTCTTCTCCACATTACACAAAGATTTCAAGTTCAAACACATCCATGTTCATTAAAAAAAAAAAAAAAACTCTCAGTGTGAACAGGCAAAGCATGAAGATAATGACATAGAAGCAAAAGGCGAACATTGGATGTTATTAACCACTTCAGGGACAGGAAAACCACAACTGCTTTTGTAACCTCAGAAATGGAATTAGGCAGTCCCATGCTGAACTCCCATATGACCACATGCTTTATAAATACTGGTTGCCCTTTATTTTTTGCGAGGCTTCCTCCTGGCACACCAGTGATGAATTTCTGGGAGACCGGGCTGTGCGCTCTCCTGGCAACCTTCATTGCAATACTTCTTGGAGGACTCTACACAATAGGAGCATTTCGCAAGAGGAAATCCACGGAACCACCCCTGGACAAGGGTTTAATTCCATGGATAGGCCATGGGATAAGTTTTGGGAGAAACCCTGTACAGTTTTTGGAAAGGATGATGAAGAAACATGGGGATATTTTCACCATGCTGCTTGGGGGCAATTATTTACATATTGTGATGGATCCTAACATTTATGGATTTATAGTAAAGACATCAAACAGCAAGCTGGATTTTAGTGCATTTGCAGCAAACATAGTCAGTAAGGTATTTAATTTTCAACCAACAGAAATTCATCATAAGATTGTGAAAGGTGGGAGCAAAAAGTACCTCAGAGGTAAAAGTCTAGCTTTCCTAAATCAAATATTCATGGAGAATCTGAACGCCATATTGCTTCACAACCAAGATTCAGGTGAGGAGAAAAGACGCTGGCATCAGGAGGGTCTTCTGCACTTCACCTACAAGACCATCTTCCAAGCTGCTTTCCTGACTTTATTTGGCTCTGACTCAGAGAAGGATGCCCCCAGAAAAGAAAATGCTCAGGAGAGAAAATGTAAACATTGTGAGAAGTTGTTTGAAGAGTTTCAGCAATTTGATCAGTTCTTTCCCCAAATGATTCTCAACAGCCTGGATCCCCAAAGCAAGAAGGAGACTCAGAGACTGAGGAGCTACTTCTGGGATCTCCTGTCTGTAGAAAAGCTGTACGAGAGGGAGAACATCAGCAGCTGGATAGTGGAGCAAGATTACCAGATGACTGAAGCTGGGATGAATGAAAAGTTGAGGTCGCAGAGCCAGCTACTTCTCCTATGGGCTTCTCAAGCAAACACCGGTCCAGCAGCATTCTGGTTGTTTGCATATCTCTTGAAATATCCAGAAGCGATGAAGGCAGTGAGGGAAGAAATAGAGCGAGTGCTAAGAGACACGGATCAGGGAGAGACACCATCGAACCTGTCCTTGCAGGCAATCAAGACTCCTCTTCTTGACAGTGCCGTGGAAGAAGTTCTCCGCCTGAAAGCGGGTTCTTTTGTGTTTAGAAGCGTAATGGAGGACATCAACCTCAAGATGGACGATGGGAGAGAATATAGTCTTCGAAAAGGAGACCATCTTCTTCTTTTTCCTTTCCTCGCGCTGCACATGGATCCAGAAATCTACCCTGAGCCTCAAACATTCAAGCATGACCGCTTCGTCAGCCCAGAGGGTGAGAAAAAAGAGTTCTTCAAAAACGGGAAAAAGCTGAAACATCATATCATGCCCTTTGGGGGTGGGCCTTCCATGTGCCCCGGCCGGTTCTTCGCTGTCAGTGAAATGAAAATATTTGTCATCTTGATGCTCACCCACTTTGATATGGAGCTGATTAACATAGAAGAAGAACTGCCTCCTTCATCTGAAATCCGCAGTGGGATTGGAGCGGCTCATCCTGCGCATGACATCATGTTCAAATATCGGCTGCGACTCTAAAGTAACTTAGAAAGTGGGGTGTAAACTTGGATTTCATAGCAGAGGGGACAAAAATTAATGTTACCTCTAGACCAGTGTTCCTCAACCTTGGCAGCTTTCATATGGGTGGACTTTCAGAGGGGCGGACTTCAACTCCCAGAATTCCCCAACCAGGCTGGGGAATTCTGGGAGTTGAAGTTCATACATAGGAAAGCTGCCAAGGGTGAGAAACCCTGGTCTAGACTCATCTTCTTATTCTATACAATATGAGCTTCTATAGACAGTAACTTCCTTCATAAAGTCTTGTCAGAGGATAGGTAAGGATAGGAACTGATGTAGATGCATGAAGCCAAAAGTTCAGTGAAAGCAGGGTTGTTCACGGGAGGGGGGTCAAAAAAGTCAAGATGGCAGCTCCGGCTATGCAGAAAGGGGTCAGGGCTTCTACTGCATGGTTGTGGCCATTCTCTTGACCTTTTTTACCCCCTCCCTACAGAACCCCCCTGAGCTAAAATGTATATTCCTATTTACAACGTTTCTCAGTAACAAGGCAGAGTAGTTCATATGTATGTGCAGACGAGTGCAAAAAAGATAACAAAGGAGGGTTGTGTTTATAATTAAGATTTTCTTAAAGAAAACCTTCACAGTTCTTAGCTTGCAAATGACAACGGTTTTTTGCCTCTCCCTTTTCCACTCAACTGCTGATCTAAAGTGTCAGCTTTATTCACTTTCCCTCACTGGCCCCAGGCTCTCTCCCTCAAAACCTTGAATGAAAGAGAAAGGGGGGAAAAAAAAAACTTTAACCTGGATATGTCCAATTCTACAAAGAAAAATCTGGTTCTTGATGTGGCAATCAACCTGTCATCAAACGTAAGTGCAGTAAAGGGAGGATTTACAGAGGTTTTAGCTTTGGAAGAGATTAAGTGGATCTCTGAATTGCTTTAGCACCATTTCATGAACATCAAGGAACAGTCTGACTCCTACGAAAGTTTGGGTACATTTGGCTGTTTTATTTCTTAGTGCCATTTCGGTAAGAGTGCAGTAAAGAACTGAGTCCATTTTAAGTTCCTTAACTGTTAATAAACCAGGTTTCATTCCATATTATGCATCATGGCAAGCTGTAAGAATGTAAACAAAACTGCTGAGCATTTATGAAGTGTTTTTGAGAGGAACTGCATAAGGGACTACAGCCTTCACCAAGTGGGGCCCTCAAAACTCAGGAATATAACTTCTAAAACATCCAGCTGTGGTCTCTGGAAAATAAAATGACCTGGTTTCAGGTAGGATCTTTTCAGTGTAATCTTTTCAAGAACCCTTTAATGCACTCTTACTTCTGTGTTGCTAGCACGGGGAGACTGGGGTGAACAGAGAAGAGCCTCCAGCAACCACCTTGTGAAGCTCACAGCACCAGCATGTTCAAACTGGGGATTCCTGACTGTAATTCAGTTTCTTAGTCCATTCTCTTCCGTGTAACTTTCTCTAAAAACTTGGATGTCTAACACAGGAGCGTTCACAAAGGATAGGGAGTGGCAAAAAAGTCAAGACAGTAGCTGCAACTGGATAATCAGAGCTCTTTTTTTAACCTAAAAATGGGTCACTGGTCCGGCTGCGGCTGCCATCTTGCAACGACTTACAATCTTACTTCAGCTTTCCTTGCTTTTCAGACCTGTGAAGGTTGTAGATGTGAGGACTGGTTGCAAAGTTATTTTTCATCACTGTTGTAACTGTGAATGGTCGCTAAACAAGGCAGTTGCTAAACAAGGACTACCTGTAATACTTTTATGCATTGTATGAGGCAAAGCCACAGCTGTATGAACGTTAATGTCATAATACATTTGATGATCTTTAAGATGGCATTTTATTTCTGCAGACACTGTTCTCTTGTTTTTATATTTTCTGAGATTTCACTTGTACATCTCTCAGATTTTACATCTGAATTGTTCTTTCCCCCCCCCCCATACTGCTCTGGAAATGTGATATAAGTTAATAAAAAGATTAGATTTAATCACATCATTCCCTTCAAATAGAAGAACTGGAATATAAATTTTTGGCATCCCAATGAAAATTTAATTATTATCATTTAATTATCTTAAATACAATACTCCGTTCTATTTATTATGTTTATTTTTTGCCCAGTGAAATAATGTGTTTCATTCATGGGTGTTCATATACATTTATTTATCATTTCAGGGGGTGATAGTACCCCAAATTTTGGGAATCCTGTTAATATTGTACTGGTTATGATATACCATATCCTTTGTAACTTCTTTCTTCTAAATAAAACCATTAAAACTAGACTAAATGAAACCAGAATACCTGTAAAACTTACAAAGATGATTTTGAATACCCCCCACTGTGTTCCAGATTGTACATTACATTGCTGTCATGTTACTCTGGGTCTTTAGAATTTAATTTTGTAATTTCAGAGCATCTGTTGCTCTCTCTGAATTCATGCATTAAATGATATGACCTGTCTTTACGGGATAGCTTCTGTAAGGAACTGAGCTTACCTTTTATCATTTAATTATTTTAATCAAGTTGCTGAATAAAGAGCAAAGAGAAAATTACATTATGCTTCAGATGGATTTTCTTAAAGGAGGGAGAGGGAGAGAGAATGAATCCAGTGGGGAAGGTTCAAGGAGACCCAGTTTCTAACTCCCCCCACCTCAGCCATGGAAGCCCCCTGGGGGACTTGGGGCCAGTCCTCCCCTCTCACCCCAAGAGCCAAAGTGGGGTAGTGGGGAAGGGGTAGGACTAGGAGCAAGGATCCAGGTTCAAGATTCTACTCAGCCAGGAAAGCCCCCTGGGGGACTCTGGGTCAGTCCCTCCTTCTCAACCCCAGAGCCAGGGTGGTCCAGGGGCTAGACTGATGATCCACAACCTTCACGTAGAGGCCTTCATCCAGCAGTAGAACGATTCTGGCCCATAGTAGTAATGGCAATAATAATATTTATTGATGTATTCCATTTGTATGGCCACCCATGCCAACAAGTGACTCCGGGTGACGAACGCTCTTAAAATAAATCAAAAGCAATTCCCATCACAAATACAAACATTAAAATTTCCATCTGCAAGCTGCCTAGAGCCATTTATACATTGAGATGGGCGGCGAATACGTGCGAGCAATAAAATAAATAAATAAATAAATAAAATACGCGGCAGCCGAGGAAGATACCACAATTGACGGTTGCTAGTGCATGAGTAATAGTAATGCTGAGAAGAGGAGAAAGGGGAGGGAGGAGGGGAGGGAGAAGCAAGCTTATTCTGATTTCCCAAAGTTAATTTGAGGATGCAGACACTCACCTGCACAACTCTATGCACCCCACATGCATAGACAAACAGACCCACTCACAGATCCTTGCATCGTGGAATCCTAGACCAGGGAATAAAAAGTGATGGATTTAGGTATCAGAATATAGGCAACAAACTGATAGCAAAGACTGTGAGAAGTCGCCTTAGAGAACAAACAAGCTGTCCCGATTCTTGATTGGACAGCAGGAAAAAAGGAGCAAAACTTTCTTGACTGAGCTTGCATTGCCAGCAATTAAGGTGCACAGGACAGAACCAAGAGAGGAATCCTACAAGGCGATATTTATTCCTGTGCATGTACATACATAAAAATTCCAACTAGTTCAAAAACCAATGATGAGACTGCCTTTTCATAAAAGAATTAAGTTAGAATACTGGAAAGTCCTGTTTTATCATCCCCAAGCAAAACTGCATGAAACCAGAGACTCGTGAGCAAAAGAAAAGCTGATTTTTCAGACCTTGATTTTGGAGTCTGGCAAGATAGGTGTATCTTTAGGGCAGTGTTTCTCAACCTTGGCAACCTGAAGATGTGTGACCTTCAACTCCCCATGCTGGCTGGGGAATTCTGGGAGTTGAAGTCCACACCGTTGCTAAAGTTGAGAAACGCTGGTTTAGGATATTATATGGCCATCTCTCCCTCCAGTCACATGTGTTGTTACTGAAGCAGGAATGATTGAATCATTTGCTGTAACACACGTGGGTGAATAATATGGCGACATTCTCCACCATTCTGGATTATCATGTTGGTGAAGGGAAGGACCTGCATTACAAAAGAATATCATAAAGGCACTTTTGGTCACAAGTACTAGAACTCACGTTCTTGGTTTATAACTGACTCTGGCCCTGTTTGGGGACGATGATTCTCTTTCTAAGATTGCATGACTGATCACTGAGCGATTGCAGCAAGTGAAATGGTTCCTCGAGCACCTGAATCGCATTTCCGTCCTGACACCCCATAATCATTCGTTTAGCTCTAATGGTGTGGAATGTATCATGAGGAAGGTGAATATGGGAACATGCTTCAAAGATTTCTCATATTCTCATCAGGCTAGCCCTTGCTCTGCTTGTTTACATCCTGATCATCTGAACAGAAATTAGGGGCAGAATCCCTGGTCTTTCTTCCTCTTCACCAGTGACCCGCAGAGGAAGACAGGGTCAGAACACACTAGACACCTTTCAGTTGACAGTCTTGGCTGGAAATGACGTTCAGTCCTGAAATACTCTTATCCTATTACCTTTCAGATACAACATCCACCCACTTCATTCCTTTCTTCTTTTACAGATTTAGGCCTACGCAAAATTACTGCCTTGCTCTGGGTGGCCACAAAAGCAAAAATCTCCTTGCCCACACTCCAGACATGAGGTAAGGTAAGGTAAGGTGGTAGGGAGGAAGGGAAGGGAAGGGAAGGGAAGGGAGGTCAGCAGCCCAACACTGTGTATCATTCATTCCTTGCCAAAGAGAAGGGGGAAACTGGTAGGACCTTGTTAGTTCCACCTCTGCTCATCCAGGTTACTGAGGGTGATATCTATTCCATGGTATTATCTAATGGGCAATGTTGCACTACCGAATCAGGTTACATCATCAGTGGTCTGACATGGAGAACTCAATACCAAGTTTTCTTCTTAGGTTGTGCACTCTAAATTCTGTTTTGGAGATTGACTGCACTTGTAATGAGTTCTGAGATCCCTTGTGGAGCCCTGGCAACATCATCTTC